TACTCAGTAGTGGACTTTGATATCTTATTTTCTGTGTTATGGTTGCTGCAGTTGACATTTTCTCCAGCTCTGAGCAGGGAATTTCGACCTTACAAACCAGATCCAGCTCCACTACTGCATATATGTTCAGCTTGGGAAGTTAAACCTAGTGAAATAATGATGGTTGGAGATTCCCTTAAAGATGATGTGAGTGCTTGTGTTTCTTTTACTTCTTTTCAAAGTATTTTTTATGTGATGTTCTTGCTACATCTTTAAGAATGTGATCCAGGATAAATGGGCCTTTTTGTATTGAGAGAAAAGAATGATGATCATATAATTTAAGGAAAATTGTGTTGTTACATTTCTGAGTTGCTGTCTGATCTTGATTTCCGTGATATAAGTAGAAATATTGGAAATGCTTATGAAGAATTGCCTGACTTTGCAGGTGGCTTGTGGGAAGCGAGCAGGAGCTGTTGCATGCTTGCTTGATGAAAGTGGGAGGTATGACTCTCCAGAATACGCCAAGGTCAATTTCAAACCAGATTTCAAGGTGTCTTCCCTAATGGAAGTTCACTCGCTATTGGAAGCACATTTTGACCTGTCACCTTGATCCTCAAACCTGTTGCGGACAATCTTCACATTCGATGGAGAAGAAGCCTTATTAGTAGTCTGTACGCATTATCTAGAAAAGAACTAGGTTGCAGCACTTGTTGTATGGCTTTCTCTTTGCTCCCCGAAACGGTTAGAAGCAAAGAAAATGCAACCTGAAAGTGAAAGAGGAAAAAGAGGAAAGAACTAGTAGAAAATTTCTACTAGAAACCAGTTAGGCGGAAGACCAATCAATTTGTATGAGACTTATATTAGTTTTAAAAATTGTGTTGTACTTGGCCTGGTAAAAGCTCATTATCAGTTACCAAGAACCTGACCAAATGCTTTGGGAGACATTAATCAAATTTCCCACCCAATATATTTGTGGAATGGTTTAACGAGAGCAGGAGAAGTGAAGGTACGAGAGGAATCTAGGATTGCCTCAATGCTATTCGTTTTCTCCAAAGTGCTCGATGACTTAGAACGAGGCTTCATCTGGGATATCAGTTTCAATCGTAGTTTCTGTGACAAAGCTGAAGTTGTTTCATCATGTTAAATGGTGCTGAACTTTGCAAAAAGCATTCAGTATGTTGTAATATAACAAATCACATATGTATATACGATCGGTGCTGAGCTCTTATCGCATAACGAAAATGGAAACAGAAGAAGTTAAGGAGTTTCAGAGCTATGAGGTGCTTGATGTAAAAATTGGTAGAACAAGTACCTGGGATCTGCGTTGTGCATGGAAGTCTCTTCTCTCTGCTCCCAAGTCCCATCTAACAGCCTCCTTTCCTTCGTTGTCCAAGTGCACAAGGTACTGGTAGCTAAAGCCACGAAAAGAAAGAAAGAAAAA